CTAAAAGAGGATATGTATTTTTTAATATTGGCAATATTTCTTTTACTAGATAAAAATTAGAAACAATAAAGTCTACTAGGAAACAGTTAAAATTTTGCAAAAATAATGTAGAATTTCTTAAATTTATTAGATAAACCTTTTACTTTGTTTGCCGGTTAAATTGTTTAAAGATGTTTTGTATTTTAACCCTTTCAGCTCTGAATTTTCAAACATTAAAGAATAAATATTTTGGTAATTGCTACTACTTCGATATGTTGTTAAGAACATATAAACCACATTTTGTAGATATAGTTTTACTATAAAAAACCAGAACTTGGTGACAAATGCCCAATTAGGTTAAAAAGAAAAAACAGAACGTTTGAATCAATATTTATTGTTTCAAAAAATAAATTTGAAAGCAGTTTATTTATTTACTAAGGCATACATGAACATTACATTACATTTTTAACAAGCTATTCTTGACCTGCCACTACAGTTTTCTAATTTACATCTTTGCTCGTGACCTTCTGTTAGCACTGGCCAGTATCCAAAGTTGTCAAATCTGATGTCTGTAATTCGTGCTTTTGCGACATGACGCTTCTTATATAGCAACATTGGAGGATTTTTTCTTGAAGGCTTACCTCTTTTTGAGATTTGGATAGTGGGAATTCCTGCAAATGCAAGTGCTTCAGCAACTTCTAGTGTAAATTCTAGCAAGTCTTTTGCCTTTTCCTCCGGCAAGCCTGTTACATTAGCCTGTCTTCTATATTCCAGCCATAAATTGCATACAACAAGATTAAAATAATGAAATAGTGTCCACTTTTTCTGTCTAATAAAAGTTCTGTATAAAGAAAGCAGAAAGTCACTCTTACCTACTCATCCCAAAGATGCTTTGTACATTCTAATGATTGCCAGTCTCGATTTCATTGTTTCTATTTTCTGGGATATAATGATCGTCTCCAAATGAGCAACCATTGTTGATATTTTCAATATCTGATCCATCTAGTTGAATTTGGAGCCAAAGTCTTATTCAATGGGATTTTCTTTGAATTGCCGTAGACTCTAATTGTCTGTATTTAGAAATCTGAAACAAACAATACTGTAAGCTAAAAATTTTCGGCAAGTTTATGATACTATTTACTAAATTATATTTATATACAAAGCAATGATTGCAAAAATATTTACTGATTTTATAACACTTACTAGTACAAGCGTCACTTTTGTTTAACACCCATCTTGAATTAGACATTCAAACGACCTGTCAAACAATAGGTGCCAGTGGAAAGTTCTCGTATATCTAAGGGAGTGGCGACAGTCTTGCATCTTGGTCGCTATTTTTATTCGAAATAGTAGTCGCCAAGCCTGCTAATTTATGAAAAAATTTATAAGCTGGTTTTTTAAATAATATTTTCATTGTGTTTGACATAAAATATTTAAATGTTATCAATCCATTATTCATGATTTTACATATAGTAGATAGAATACATCGTATGTTGCAACCCTTAGATATACCATACCTTCCCACTAGTCATTCAATTGTTTGGAATGCCTAATATTTGTATAAACCCTAGAGAACATCTATGAGCAGTGTTGCCGAATCGAAAATCTAAAATTTCCCATCGTTTAATCCAAAAATTCCCCTTTTATCCGCCCATGTTTTTAAAAATTACCCACTTTTTGCACCTACACTAAAAAAATGTTTTCTGTAAAACTATAATCTGGAAAAGCCTTCTAGTAGGGTTCTAGATAACAAAAATGAAAATAAATTTAACATATCAGTTGATCTAATGGCTAAATAAACTCGACGCTGAAGGCCAAATGAAAATAATCTGAAAGGCAAAGAAAGTCCGTCTCCAGGAAACAACTACTGCCTTAGCTAATACCACATCAGGCATTGAATTATATCAAGAGGAAAAGAGCAGAGAGAAAATAATTATCAACACTTTAGCTTTGATTTTGGTTCTTCCTAAGGAGAACATCATCATTTGACCGGTTTCGTCCTTATCCGAACTCATCAGCAAAAAATAAAGAATCTCGACTTGAGTCTCTAATTGTCTGCTTGATGTGTTACAATTTTACTATGATATATTAAAACTGGTTAAGAAAGTGAAGGTAGTCAAGCAACGAGTAAAAAATGGTAACGCCATCTGCAATTAGGAAGCAAAATCAAAGCTTGCTGTGGTACCTTATTCTCTAGAACAACGCGAAATAATAACAAGACTAGAGTGTTGAAAATAATTTTCAATCTCTCCTCTTTTCCTTTTGATATAATACAATGCCTGTTGTGGTATTAGCTGATAGAGTAGTTGTTTTCAGAAGGAAAACGGTTGCTAAACACCACAAAAACATGTCATTAATAATGTCCAAACTATCTCCCTTATCTCTGGTCCAAACATAAAACATGTCATATGTCAAAACATAAAACATGATATAATTTCATGTGTCAGGTTCTGAGTTATTACATCACTGACCTAATGTAATAAATAAATATTATCTGTTTATTAAAAAGAGGAAATCCAAGATTACAAGATTAATTAGCCCTAAAATCATTATGAGAGGCTCATGGGAGCAAATTCCTCAAAAATATTGTATCTACCCAAAATTCCCACCAGAGTCAAAATTTCCCCCCAATGGGGAAATTTCCACCCAAACACTGCCTATGCCATAAAACTTCTGAGCACAGAAATGAAAACTAAAAATATTAAAGATGCCACCTAGTGCATAACAGTCTAACGCAACCGTTTATAGATAACTAGGCCTCGAATTTGATGGTGGCATACGCCACCACTAGGGCCATAGGGGTTAAATTTAAATTCTGGTGTGTATTTGTTGGTCAAATCGGTATAAGTGACTCTCTATATCTTAATCCCAACATTCAAACCATCTTTGAACATTTTGAATCAATTTTGCTTTTTTTCCTATTTCCTCTGATACGATTTCCTCTAAGAATCTGATAAAAAAAATGAATGTATTTTACTTTTTTTTTGACCTACATGCAGATTTGCCAGTCTTGTACAATTGCTAAGAATCTGGTACACTGGAAGAAAAATCTAGTACCTTTTCTTTTTCAGCGTGTTACCACTTGACGCGTGTAAAATATATTGTTGGGATCTTGCTCCTTGTTTTGTTTTTGTTTGCTAAAAACCATTTTTTTTTCTTTAATGAACCAAATCACATCACAATTAATTCGAAAACCTGGTACATTTTACGGAATCTAGTACATTTCTATAAAATTTCTATAAAATCTGGTATATAACTAAAATGTATGTTGTCAAAACTGCCTACGTACGCTAATGTAATTATATTTTTGACGATTTGTACGTAGAATAACACGCTCTTTCAATTGGCATGATCGAAATTGGGTGTCGCTATTTCAAAAATTGTTGATGACGTCTTTTTTTTTTTCTCCTGGGCTCGTCTATGTGTCTCCAAATAACACTGAAGCCTATTAGCTTATTGTGTTTTACCCCATGTTAGTTCATAGCACCCACTCTGTCACCTTTGTACCTTGTACAAGTTTGTACAGATCCTTGGGTGAGTGGGTTCTATACGTTGTTGGATCAATCTGGGGTTGTCCAAAAAAAGCCTGTCTTTTGCGATCTAGAGCTTCGCATTCGCACAGTATGTGTTTGGCCGTTTCTGGTTTTTTGTGACATAGTCGGCACATGAGTTTCCCATTGTACATGCCAATTTTGTTCAAATGTCCCTTTACTGAAGCGTACCCAGTCATAAACCCTGTTATCACTTTCAACTGGTTCCTATTCATAAAGAGTAGTTCTCCAGTTCTTTTGGGACATGGTCTGCCTATGGAGGCCTTTCCATGTGCCTGTTTTAGGGTGCTTCCACAATAGTTGATGACGTCATGTCTCGAATAACGATTACGTCACAAATATGGATCGTATGTCAAAAAGTGCCTTTGCTGCTTAAAACAAAATCGATGTGCCAGAAGATTTTTTCGAAAAACTCTTAATTTCTGAAATAATAAATGTATTAGTTACTTTTCTAAAACACTGTGTATGTCTGACTCATTGATATAGTGTTTGGAGCTGGGATACGATTACGATACCAAGCTCAATTTGTTGCCGCAATCGATAAAAACAGTCATACTTTCTCTAGTAACCGATATTACTATTATCCATTCGTGCAAACGAGAACATTTTCTTGCCTCCACTTTTCTCCACATTCCCGACCACCCTGGATTTGAAAAAGCAAAAAAGTTTCGACTGTACGCCGTAATGATAACTCTCGAACAAATTTTATTTTACTTGATAATGTCTTTCAGTCATGTACTTACTTACCCTATTGTTTTTCAGTAATTTCGATTTATCTTACCATATCAGTGTTTAAAGGCGGCACTCATTTTACATGTTCGTGTATTTCCTTAATGTGTCAAAAATCGTGTTTGGAGCCTCGATAAGGTTTGAACTACCAATTTAGCGCTCCTCCAATTTTTTTAATGTTCTGTTATTTTTTATTGACAAAATATTTATTATTTGAAATATCAAATTTTACCTGTTTCCTATAAAATTTTCCTAAAAGTACAATTTTTGTGTTTAAGAAAAGGATAATAATTTCATTAATATAACTTATCCATCCAGTTGCATGAACGTTTATTACAAAATGAACCTGGTAAACTTTGACAGATATTTAATTTGTGAGTAATATAAAGTTAATGTTATGCAGACCACCAAAATCTCAAACCCGATCTCAAGTTCTGTCAAATTTTATCAAGAAATTAAAAAATGTTAATTAACGTTTTTGCAACCGGTTGGTATCATTTGGTTTATTGACACATATTTGTTTATATTTCATATGTATGCTATTAATAATGTATTATGTCTATGCAAAAACTAGAATTGAACATCCATGTCTAGGTTAGCTAGACCATTATTTTGCATAACCGTCAATCATTACATAGTTAAAGATTGAATGTAGTTGCGTCAGGTATTTTTTGTTAAAGACTAACTTCGAAGCTTGTATATACTGTGTGTTGCTAACTTCACGTAATTTGTCCTGTACAGGAGATGAGTTCGATAAGAACTCCAGTTCCAGCTCAACTTCTTTGCCAGGTTTGTATTCACTACGCTGAATTTGCTTTCTTCTTTTATTTTATACGTCACACTCACCATCTTTCAGCATGTCACTAAAACCATTATTTGCTATGAAAAGTAGGAAAATGCAAACTGATTGTGGTAAGAGGATAATAATTATCTTTATCATAAATATTTTAGAAAAAAGAAGGAAAATAAAATTTTAGTGTCTAGGCAGTAAAATTGTTAATTCTATCATCAAGAAATATCACTCAGTGATATTTAATGTCAATCGGAGAGAAAAACTATTTTTTAAAAACTGTAACACCCTACAAATCAAAAAATATACAAAGTTAGGTCATGTTTTTCGAAAAAAACTAGATATTAATAAAAATCTATTCTTTTAAATTATTTTAAAATTTTAAACATATACTAAGAAAAAAAAATAGTTTTAAAATAGATGTGCGATTCCAGTGGCGTTTGTTTTTTACCTAAATATTACTCCAAAAAAAGTTGGGGACTCAAAGGGGTATTGACCTCCTCTGAAAACCCATAAATAATAAAAATAAACAAATGTTGCCAATGCAAATTAATTATACCTAGTAAACTACTAGTATCCCATATACGAGGGTCATTCAATAAGTAAAGAGACAAATGGCTATAGCTCAAAACCGGTTGATTTCAATCTTTCAAAATTAAGGCTATTTTTCAACATAATCACCCCCCACAGTTATGCACTTGTCTCATCTTTCTTGCAGCTTCCTAATTCCCTTAGCGAAGAATTCTTTAGATTTACCCCGAAGCCACTTTTGCACCGCTTCCTTGACTTCCTCATTGTTAGCAAATCTTTTTCCACGTAGGGCGTCTTTGAGTGGTCCAAACAGGTAAAAATCAGATAGGGCGAGGTCGGGACTGAAGGCAGGATGAGGTAAGACCCCCCAACCCAATTCTTGAAGCTTATCACGGGTCAACTGGGCTGTATGAGGGCGGGCGTTATCGTGCTGAAGAATGACTCCTTCTGACAAGAGTTCACGGCGCCGGCGTTTGCTTCTGATAGCTGGTCTAACTTTATATGCTAGCATCTCAGAGTAGTTATTGGCTATTAATAATTGGCTGGTCTTCAAGGAAATCGCAATAGACTTGACCCTGTGAGTCCCAAAATATGATCAGCATCACTTTACCGGCGGAAGGTTGAACCTTTTTTGCGAACTGGAGAGCTAGTATGTTTCCACTCCATACATTGCCTTTTGGTCTTAGGGTCGTAGTGATGGATCCAGACCTCGTCGCTGGTCACTATTCTTTCAAAAAAAGCGTCTCCTTCAATCAAACTTCGTTGCTCTAAGTTGACCAATGGAAAGCCTTGATTCTTTATGAGCGTCAGTAAGCTATCTGGGAACCCATCTGGCAGACGTTTTTCTGTACTTTAAATTGTTCTGAATGACATTGTGAACAGTTCCAACACTTACTTGAGCTTCCTCAGCTATTATTTCAAGAGTAATTCTTCTGTTATCACGAATAAGACCCTCAATCCTCGATTCCAACGAGGGACCAGAAACTTCCATTGGACGTCCACATTGGGTTTCATCACCTACACTTGTTCGGCTACTTGTAAACCGATCAACCCACTTGTAAAAATTCGCATGATTCATACAACTTTTATCGTACTGTATCAACATTCTAGAAAAAATTTCACTTAGTTTTACACCTTCTGCGACTTAAAATTTAATGACTGAGCGCTGCTCTTCTAAGGTGCAATCTTCTAGTGGTCTTGTTATGGTGAATTGAAAATTTTCAGGTTATGTTGACATAAAATGATGAAACAGCTGATCAAGGCATATCCCAAGGTTGCCAACTAACACCCCTGAAAAGATTGTACACATTCATTGAATACTTTTAAAATTATAGAATTTGTCTCTTTACTTATTGAATGACCCTCGTAAATTTTCATAAATTAATATCAAACCGTTTTAGAGCAACGTTAAAAAATTGATTTAAATTTTTAACTTGAACACCCTGTAACTTTTTTTTTGTGTGCACTTTTGTACATGAGTAAATAGGGATCAATCGACCTGTAAAAAAGTAAAATGATAAAGCGACGTGGCAACGTTACATTTTGGTGATTTTTTTTGCAAACAAGAAGAACTTTCACAGTGTCAGAATAACTATACAGAGTGGGCAATATACCTGGATTTAAAAAGAAGCTAAACGGCAAGTATACAGTGTGATGTAAAAAGTCTGCACCATACATTTTTTTTTGATTTCCCAAAAAAAATTATTTTTTTTAAAAATTGACTTTACACCGAATATTAATTTCATGCGTATAAAAATTTTAGTACCATATACGAGGGAGGTAAAAAAATATTAAAGATTAAAGTACCCTAATTTTTAAAAATAGAGAAAAATTACATTTGAAAAACTTGTTTTGAATCAATAATATTTATCAGAAATAATAACCACCGAAAACATTTTTTTTCTTTTACTTTTTAGCAACTGGAGTGTACTTTTACATATGAAATATTTAAGGGTGTCCTTTTAAAAATAGAACATAGAACAACTAAAGATTTTCTGATTCAAAATGAGACGATTAAACGAAATATGCTTACTCGTTTTCGAAATACTGGGTGTTAAAGTTAAAAATAGAAAAATGATTATGTGTTATAATTTTTTTATTACTCGGTATAATTTTACTAAATTCGCAAACGCTTTTGGTATCATAAGAAACCTGAGAGCAAAAAATCGGTTAATTTAATGTCGCTAATGGCCTACAACATGGAAAAATAACACCTTTATCATTTCTAAATGTTACGCCACTGTAATAATTTTAATTTATTTGATGCTTTTTAAGTAAATCATGAATTTTTGTTAGGGAGTAATAAATTAATTGGTTTTCGAGATAATCAAAGGCAGATTCTTTTTTTTAATTTAATTTTTATTTTTGAAATAGCCGTACATTACTGACAAAGTTATACTAATAATTTTTCAATTTTTAACATTTACACACAATCTTTTTTAGTTTAGTCGTCTCAATTTGAACCTGAGAATCTATGACCCATTCTTAGTAATAGTTTTAAGTAAAAATAATATATTAATCTAATTTAATATGCTCTTTTATGTACTTAGATAAAAAAAAGTTTAACAATTTCTTTTTGGGACACACTGTGAAAAAATCATTAATTGTAATAATATTAAACATATTTCCTTTCCTACCGAAATATTGTCAAATGAATTTTATAATTTTTATTGATATATTTTACACTAATTTATGGAATTTTTTTTAAAAATAGTTTGAAAGAATTTTATAATGTTTAATTATTTCCGATAATTTTAGAAAGTTTATATTTTAAAAATTAAAAAAATGGCATTAACGAGTATTTCGTCTTATTACGTCCTCTATACAAAATACTAAACCAAAAATCAGTTTGCATTTCTTGCAGTCAAAAATTTTGTGATTTATGTTCATTATAAATTTTGCCTATTGTTAAATTGATTTTGATAGTTAGTTCTCTGGTGGTTTCAGCTAAGCTAAATACAAATCTTCTGTAAGCAACTTAATTCTGAAAGTGATTTTTATAATTGCGACACTTAGATCTATATTGTATTTCTCACAGGAAGTCTCCAATTAAATTAAAAACAAAAAAAAATTAAAAAAATAAAAATAAATAATAAAAAAATTAAAAAAAAGCATATTTTATACTAGATACGTCAACTATACAGAGTGATTGAGAAATACATGTACATATTAAAACAGTTGCTAAAATGCGATGTGCAAAATAAAACGTCAATATTTTTATCCGTTAATTGTTATTATGAATATTAATTAAGAATACTAGTGTTCGCTCAGTGGTCGAAATTCCATTATTGAAAATTTGTGGAAAACATTATATGCATTTGCATGTTTCCAACATTTTTTTTTATACATTCGTTCATTGTGTATCTCAGACTACAAACTTTTACTCGTATATGTACTTAAAATATAACAGTTTGGTGCTATTGTAATTAAATGAAAATAACTTCAATAAAATAACAGTAACTCTCAATTTAAAAACCCTCATTTATTGAGGGGGTTGGATGTGGGTAACTCCCATCGCTTTACTATATCCGACCTCAGCTTGTACACTGTCATATCGAAAATAATCATTACTAGCCCAGCAAAGGAATGACAAAAAGGAGTGGGGGAAGGAGGTCGGCCTACTCTTTGAATTTTTCTAATTTTTTAATTATCTATACAACCAATATCTCAAAATTATGAAAAAATGTTTCACTCCCCACCTACACTTGGGGGGGGGGAGCGAATTCATCCCTCCTACACTTTGGGGTGTAACTTCTCCTTTGGGAAGGGTGACATTTTTTCGCCTCAAGTCCAATCTGTCGTACCCGAAGTTAATTTTTCTAAGTCTAGTTCTATATAGCGACCCCTCCCCTGAGGCGTGGGGAGAAATATGGAGGGGAGTATAAGTAGGGAGAGCGAGGAGAAGTTGAGCGGTTTTAAATCTTTTCAGATGGAGCCTAAAGCCCATCTATTAGTTTTTTATATCCCTTACCATTTAAGCGGGTCGAAGCTGCCCCCTCTAGGCCGACTGGCTCTAGTTTTATTGCGGCGTGTTATATTCCGTTGTTGGGACCCTAGGACGTATGCACGAACTGTATACATGTCCCAGTTCACCGCAATTCCAGCACCTCTTCATTATGTTAACTATTTGGTCGAGTTTTCTTCTTTTAGAGCCCTGAGTTTACTGTATCCCCCAGAAGCCTGCGTAGCTGACTTATACTCTACAGCAGTGGACAAGACATCGACCAATGTTCTGTCGGGCTAAGCGGAGTGTTTTCTGCATCTCGTGGACACAAAGTCCATCAACAAATGCTTGGACTTTTAAACATTCCGTCATGTTTTCTGGAGCTGATGGGTGGGCAAATCATACCAACCTATCAATATCTACTTCATATTCTTGAAGAGTCTCGTCTCGTTTCTGTTTACGATTCTTTAACTGTGACTGGTATAAATGCTTCAAGTGTTCGTGGCCATAGCGCATATTTAGTCT